CACCCCCCTGCTGCAGGGTGGGGTCCTCCACGGGCTGCAGGTGGGTATCTGCTCCACTATGGACCTCCATGGGCTGCAGGTGGATATCTGCTCCACTATGGACCTCCATGGGTGCAGGGGCACAGCTGCCTCACCATGGACTCCACCACAGGCTGCAGGGGAATATCTGCTCTGGCGCCTGGAGCACCTCCTCCCCCTCCTTCTTCACTGACCCTGGTGTCTGCAGAGTTGTTCCTCACATATTCTCACGCCTCACTCCAGCTGCAGTTTGTGTCCCATTGTTTTTTTTTCTCCCCCTTCTTAAATATGTTATCCCAGAGGCACTACCACTGTTGCTGATGGGTTCGGCCTTGGCCAGCAGCAGGTCCATCTTGGAGCCGGCTGGAATTGGCTCTGTCGGACACAGGGGAGGTTTTTGGCAGCTTCTCACAGAAGCCACTCCTGTAGCCACCTGCCCCGCTACCAAAGCCTTGGTATGCAAACCCAACAGACCCTGTTTTTGATGTTACAGAAAATGAAGTACTCCGCCTCACTGGGAGGCAGTGAAGACAGCAAGCAGTAAAACCTGAGCTCCGGGAAGGCGAGAACATGCTGTGCTGTGACAGTGTAAGACAAGTGAGCCACAGCCCCAAGTTTCAACTGTGTCTTTGTATGTCTCCAGAGAAGGATGGAAAGAGATTATTTCATATTATCATTAACACCGGCAGCTGCCTCTATTTGCAAAAGCTGCTGTAGCAGTGTGCTTTCCAATGCAAAGAGTATAGAATGAAATGGCAAAGTAGCTTTTTGTGTTTTGCTGGATCTCTGATTTGGATTTTACTCCTAAAATGCCAGAGAGTTTTCCACTTCCTAAATTTGAGAAAGAAATATATATTTCTACTCCATGTTAGGTGGTTTGCGTTATCATGAAAAACTTTTGATCAGATTTTTTTCTGCTGCTCATGAACCTTCATTTATCATCACACAACCATACTCTTAAATTGCAAAGTTCCAATATGACTAGGAATTTAATCTAAGACCTTTTTTGAATGCTACAGAGGCACGCTTTGGCAAGCACCAGTTTTATTGTATTAGGATAAGGTATGTAAGCATGAAAATTATTCTCAGAACTATGTAACAAGAATCAAACCAACGTACAAAGTCTTCAAGAATACAGATGCTACTGAACTATTACATTATGATATAAATGCAGGGAGAGTATCCTGGAGAGATAGTTCCTCTAAAATTAATAGCTCAGGTGAACTGAACCTATTGAAGTATATTTGGAATTTCCTTGTGGTAGAAATGTATCACATTGTAGCATGAGCTTACTAAACAAACATGAATGTTTTAATCTATAACACAACAGGTTTTTATCCCATGTTCAGCAAGTATATGAATCTATACAAACAAGTAAGTACCTTTCCCATCAGTCAAGTGAGGCTTATCCAGTTAATTGTTACAATACTGACATATGTTTGGCTTTATAGAGTTACCATATACACATTACTGTACTGCATCACTTATTTATGAAGATATACCAAAATGGCTTCTCATGTTCTTTTAGCAAGGCATAGCTTTTTGGCTGGTCTACAGATCAATTAAGACAGACAGAATAAGGAAATGTTTAAAAAAATATATGCTTAACAGCTCAGTCTAAACTCTCGTTCTGAAAAAAAAAAAAAACAAACCCCAAATGCACCAATTCTGCTGTACCATTGTTCTTTGAAATGAAATGAAATAAACAATTTAGCCTCCTATTAATATCAATGATTTTTTTTATTGTTTTTATTCAGTAAAGCATCCAATGTAGCTATTCCTCTTCATAATGAGGATACAAAAGGAGTCCAACACTACTAGCAGTGGCCGATACGTCTCTAGGCACATATTTATCTCCTTGTGAAGATCAAAAATCTGAATTATAAATTCTAGCATTAGTTCTGTAAATCATTATTGTTGGTCATATCATAATTTCAACCTGCGTCCCATAAAGGGAATAAAATTTCACATCTGAGAAAGGTATTATTAACCTCCTTT